GAAAATAGGCCTAATTTATAAGTATATTGGGTACTCCTCCTTCTACCAATTGGTTTTGGGATGGAACGTACCCAACTTGGGCTTAATCTAGTTTTTCTTTATTATGGTGCGCTTCACGTGCGTGGGATCGCACTCGTTTTTCCCCTGTTTCTTACATGGTATCAAAGCCGATTCTATTGGGGACCGTGCGATGACGTACCATTTCACAACCTGTTTCTAGTAGGGCTTAGGCACCCAGCTCCGTATATGGGCTTGGGCTTCTTATGAAGGACTCACAGGTGAGGGGACATATTAGAATATTCACTTGTGAGTTGTCCCACATCGTTTATATAGGGAAAATAGGCCTAATTTATAAGTCTAATGGGTCACTCCTCCTTCCACCAATTGGTTTTGGGATGGAACCCTACTTGGGCTTCATCTGGGTTTTTCCTGTTTGTGTGCTTCATCTGCGTGGGACCACACCTGTTTTCCTTCCCGTTTCTTACACGGTATCAGAGTCAGGTTCTATGTGGGACCGTGCGGGGGCATATTAGAATATTCATTTATGAATTGTCCCACATCGTTTATATAGGGAAAATAGACATAATTTATAAGTTTAATAGACTACTTCTCCTTCCACCAATTGGTTTTGGGGATGGAACCCCACTTGGTCTTCATCTGGGCTTTCTCTGCTATGGTGCGCTTCACGTGCGTGGGACCGCACCCGTTTTCTCCCCATTTTCTTACATGGTATTAGAGTTGGTTCTATGTGAGACCGTGCGATGATGTACCCATTTTCCAGCCTGTTTCTAGTAGGCTTGGGCACCCGGCTCCATATATGGGTTTGGGCTTCGGATGAATGACTCACAAGTGAGTGGGCATATTAGAATATTCACTTGTGAATTGTCCCACATCATTTATATAGGGAAAATAGGCCTAATTTGTAAGTTTAATGGCTATTCCTTCTTCCACCAATTGATGTTGGGATAGAACTCCACTTGGATTTTATCTGGACTTTCTTGCTTATGATGCACTTCACATGCGTGAGACCGCACCCGTTTTTCTCCATTTCTTACATTATCGAAGTTTTGGTCTTGAGATTGTATGCACTCATACACACCATCCGAATGCTCATGTAATAGTATAAATCATCCAAATTAAGCTAGATAAAAAATAAAATAAAATAAAGTCTATCAAGGATATGATGAAAATGAAGCCATATCGCATTGTCTCTAAATCAACCAACCATGAACCCCACCACACCACTAATCAAGAGTAGCCGCCTTTTAGTGAAATTCTACATGATTGTTTTTTTGAAACGATCACTTTATATAAATAACATTGCATTTACACGTTAGAACAATGAGAAAAAGCCAAATTCATTAGCTACTAAGTTGAATTTAGATATACCATAAAATAGCCTAGAAAACTGCAAAACACAAACACAACCGTACATAAAAATACATATTAAATTACAGTACAACATCTTTCCTCTAGCTAAACCGACCCGCCACTAAAAAAACACCCCAAGCCGCTTGCAGTTGATATTCAAAAGGCTACCATCAGCAACTCAAAAGCAACCACCAACAAACAATGAGGCCAACTGGATCTAAACGATAAAAGAGCATCAGATTTGAACCCAACAAACCTCAAAACTCATATTACCTCGAGCGACTAGGCAGATCTATAGAAACAACTCAAATTTGACCCTCAAAGACATCAATGGACAGTCGGAGAGCCACATCACAGTGAGGTCAATCTCGATCGACCACTGGGAAGGATTCTGGCGCTGACCCCTCAAGATGTCGGATGGCGGTCAGGTGGCCTGCCATAGGAAAAGAGGAAGAGCTAGAGAGCTCCTTTTTTTTTTTGCGAGAGAGTTTGATAGAGAGAGGGGACCTAGTTGGTAACTCTACATGAATGTTATTTGGATACTGGTTGAGAAGTAATGGATTCCTCCCTGAGGGAGCCATTGAATATAAATAAAACCTGGTTTGATTGGATTTATTGATTAAAATAATTTATTTTAAATAAAATTGATTGAATTGAAGGGTGAGTGGAATTTTGAATTTGTATTTTAATAATATTAAAAATATAATAAATGAAGTTGATGCGATGTAAAAATAATGAATAAGTTATTTGAAATGATGTGTAGTTAAAAATATATGAGTGAATGAATAGTGAATTAAAGATGATAGAATATATAATGATGATTGATTAATATTATATAATTACATTGATATTATTGAGAAGAATTCAATTGGATAAATTTAAGTTAGATACTAAATTAAAAAGTGTAAAAAATTATCCAATAAGTTGAAACCCGTTATATTTTATAGTCCATTGTGCCCTAAGCATTTGAACATATATAGAAAGAAAGAGAGTGAAAAAAACATATGTGTCTCGATCATATACATAAATAATAATAATAATAAAAAAAAAAGGGATCGAAAAAAAGTTTATTTATGTATCGATCATATACATAAATAAAAAGGAGACCAGAGCAAAAATTTTAATAATTTTTTCTGTACTTCTTTAGTTTATACTTACANGTCTGACATTAATCTTTAGATTCTTAATAATTGGATGAATATTTCTTTTTATGAAATTAATAATTGGTGCATCATTCTAGCTTTATAATAGCTGTTGTGATTATTTTTGTTACGTTTTTCATCATTGTTTTGTCGTTCTTTTTTCCTCGTTTTAGGTTTTTTTGTAGTTGTTAGTTCGTTTTGTAGTTTGTTGTGTGTTTTGCTCTATTTTGGCTTGTTATGTGTTTTTCGTTTATTTTTTCGGTTTTCTATATTTTTCTTCTTGTTTTTGGTGTGCAGGTCAAAAGCTCCGTGAGGAATAAATGTAGCCCAAAAATTGCCGAGCAACCATGGTTGTGTAGATGGGTTCGTTGGTGAATATAAAAAGAAGCAGAGCTCAATTTCGAGCTCGGACGAATCCGAACGGGGCCGAAACGTAAAGTCCAGCAAACTACCGACCCTTTGAAGGTTGGAAGACCCTAGAGGATTGTATTCTGAGCAAAAGTTGAATTTGAAAGCATCATTGAATATGTTAGCGACGCATAGGAAAAAACGGAACTCAATTCCGAGTTCGGACGAGCCCGAAACGCAAAGTTGCGCAGCTCAGATTTTTCTTAGCTGCGCTAATCAATCATAGCGCCGCTAACCCCTCCCTGGCAAACAACAATTTTTTTCCTTTTCCTCAAAATCTGGCAGACAACAATTTTTTTCCTTTTCCTCAAAATCTGGCATGTTTGGAGGGTGCTCGAAAGTGGAAGCTTGGACCAACATTTCATCCTTGATTTTGGATTTTTGGTGCTGAAGAACATGTTCCCACTCACTCTCTTCCATCTCTCCTTATAACTTTCATTTTCCATCTTCATCACCACCGCTACCATTCTTGAACTAAGGGGGGTTCTCCCCCCTCTTCATCTTTCTTCTTCACCATCTCTTTTCACCACCTTCTTCTTCATATTTTCTCTCTTAAGTTTTTCTTTTGGTTTTTATAGTTACTCCATTTTTACGAGATCAAAATCTATAAAATTATTTGGGTTAATTACTAAATAAACCTTAACCTTTTTACGTTTGACAATTTCATCCCAACCTCTGGATAATTGCATTATAATCTCGACCTCACTTTACTTATTGCAAGTCGAACCTTCCAAAAACGCCAACATGTCCGGCAGCTTACACCTACTTGGATTTTCGACTTGCTACGTGGATATACAAAAAATTACACATAGGAACCAGGCCAGTTTCAAAATTAGAAACAGACCCCAGGTCTGTTTTGAAATTACAGATTTAACTCTGGGGTAAAATTATAATTAACTGAAACTTCTGAAAATTGAAAAACAGCCCTTCACATTTGTCAAATTCTCAAAATCAGGTCCTTGCCCTAATTTTCCTTTTCTCCCGTCAGTTCAACCCTTGCCCGCTGCCGCCACGTGTCTGCCGCGGCTTCCGACCTCCGGCAAAGCATCGCCGTCCTAGGTCAGCGGCTTCTAGCCGGAATCCCAGATTATATTTTTAATGTTTGTCCGCCATTAATGGCGGACCGAGCTTGAAGCTTGATTTTTTCAGAAGCCCAATTTTTTTTTTTTAATGTTTGTTCGCCATTAATGGCGGACCGAGCTCGAAGCTTGATTTTCCCAGAAGCCCACAGCCATGGCGGACCGAGCTCGAAGCTTGATTTTTCTAGAAGCCCACAGCCATGGCGGATCGAGCTCGAAGCCTAGATTTTTTTTTTTTAATGTGTGTCCGCCATTAATGGAAGACCGAGCTCGAAGATTGATTTTCCCATAAGCCCACAGCCACCGAGAACCACCTCTGCTCGGCTCTAAGCACGAATATCCATGGAGAAAGAGGGTCACGCGACGAGGCCGTTGACGTCAGCATTAACCTTCAGTTTACCGCCCAGCGGCAGCGGTGGTTGGCCGCGCAATTCCTGGCGTCCAGGAACAGTGGCCTCAATCACCGACAATGGCGTGACGGGAGATCGATGATCAGAGATGGATGTGTGAATCGGCGAGAGTTGCAATTCCAAGAAAGTTGTATACGAACAGATAGAAATTAATTCCAATTTCCTTTTCTTAATTACAGTTTAATTGACATTAAAATAATTTCTGTATATCCATGGAAGCCAAAAAATCCACGTAGATGTAAGTTGTCAGACACGCTCGCGTTTTTGGAAGGTCCGGCCGGTTTAAGGTTCAATTTACAATAAGTAAAGTGAGGTCGATACTATAATGCAATTATACAAAGATTGAGATAAAATTGTCAAACGTAAAAAGGTTGAGGCTTATTTAGCAATTATCCCAAATTATTTTTTAAGGTTTTGTATGTTGGAAAATAAATAAACTCAAAAGAGACGGTCAACACTCTACAGCGAAATTCAAGGTTGATTCGTGAGAAATTTCGCACATGGGGCCCAAAACCGCCGGCTGATTTGATTCCAAGTTATCATTAGGTACCCTGTACCCTTGTTTTATTCTTTTCATTTCACAATAATAACTATATATAGGTCCATTTGAATTGATCACTCTCAACTCTCAACACTTATTTCACTCTCTTCTGAAGCAAAACAAAAAATTGGAAGAGCAATTGTCAAAAACAAGGAAAAAAAAAACTTAAAGGAAAAGACAAAAGGCAAAGAAAAAAAAAAAGAACAAATTTTGGGAAAAACTTGCATCATCATCATCATCATCAATGGCGATCGGTGGAGCAATTAGCAGTGGCGAAAATGTACATTACAATGGGAAAGTTACAATAACCGTCTTGCTTTCATGTATTATTGCAGCCACCGGTGGACTGCTCTTTGGCTATGATACTGGAGTTACAGGTACTTTTATTTTTATTTATTTATTTTTTTTGTTTAATAATTTCAAATATGGACCCATTTTTTTTTTGTTGAAGTGTAGATTTTGAGAATTTTGTTGAGAGATGAAAAATATGTTTAGTTAGCAAAACTTGAATTATCAGAATCTTATTAGGTATGCTTTTGGTGTGTAGGTGGAGTGACCTCAATGGAGCCATTCCTGAAGAAATTCTTCCCTGAGGTCTACACAAACATGAACTCCAATACATTAGTCAGCAACTACTGCAAATTCGACAGCCAGCTCTTGACCGCTTTCTCTTCCTCAATCTACGTATCTGGCCTCATCGCCTCTTTCTTTGCTTCGCGCGTCACTATGGAATATGGCCGCAAGCGCTCTATCATCTGCGGTGGAATTGCGTTTTTCAGTGGGGCCGCCATTGGCGGCGCCGCCGAAAACCTCTACACGCTGATGATCGGACGCCTCCTTCTCGGAGTTGGAGTCGGTTTTGCCAACCAAGCTGTCCCGCTCTACTTATCTGAAATGGCTCCCTCGAAATACAGAGGAGCCTTCAACTTCAGTTTCCAATGCTTCCTCAGCATCGGGAGCACGGGCGCATTCCTCCTCAACTACGTCACCTCCAAAATCAGCGGCGATCTCGGGTGGCGAATTTCTCTGGCGACAGCTCTCGTCCCTGCATCCGTCCTCATCCTCGGCACCCTATTCCTCCCCGAGACCCCCAACAGCCTTATCCAGCGTGGGGAGGACGCCAGGAAGCTCCTCCAGAAAATCCGTGGGACGGATGACGTGGACGCTGAGCTGGACGACCTCCTCTCCGCCACGTACGCGGCCCAGCAGATGAAGGCCCCGTTTGGGAAAATCCTGAAGAGGCGTTACCGACCTTACCTCGTGATGGCGGTGGCGATCCCCTTCTTCCAGCAGATGACTGGGATTGCGGTTATCTCTTTCTATGCCCCAATCCTGTTTCGGACGATCGGGTCGGACGAGAGCGGGTCCCTCAAGTCGTCACTCATCACGTCCTCCCTCGGGATTTTCTCCACCGCGCTCTCGTCCCTTCTCGTGGATCGTGTGGGTCGGCGGGTGATATTTGTTGTTGGTGGGGCCCTCATGTTGGCCACCCAGCTGGCGATCGGGGGAATCATGGCCGAGAAGCTCGGCGACTACGGAGTGCTGAGCCCGGGCTACAACGCGGCGATCGTGGTCCTGATATGCGTCTACGTGACGGCGTTCGGGTTCTCGTGGGGCCCGCTCGGGTGGCTTGTGACCAGCGAGATCTTCCCGTTGGAGATACGTTCGGCGGGGCAGAGCATAACTGTGGCGGTCAGCTTCTTGTTCAGTTTCGTGATAGGGCAGGTGTTTTTGGCGATTCTGTGTCATCTTAAGTCGGGGACCTTCTTTTTCTTCGGGGGATGGGTGGCGTTGATGACGGGTTTCGTTTTCTTTCTGTTGCCGGAGACGAAGAATGTGCCGATCGAGAAGATGGATAGGATATGGAGGGAGCACTGGTTTTGGAGGAGGTATATGAGTTATGATGAAGATGATTTGGAGTGGATGGGAGGCGACATTGAGGAGCCCTTTTTGAAATTCGTTAAATAAATTGATTAAGGGCACAAGATTTTTATACATAATTCTTGTATGTATTTCATTATTTTACCCTGGATAGGTTCACACTCTTGTTACGAGGAAAGCAATTCTTGTTACTAAGGATGATGTGGGTTTAATTTTATCTAAAGAAGTTCACTACAGTACTCTAAATGGAGATGCTAAAATTCAGAGTGGTGAAGTTTTGTACAATACTATAGGCAGGCATCACTTTGATCGGCCTTACTGCACTCGGAGGTGCGGCCGAGAATCTTTTCATGCTTATGTTTGGTTGTGTTTTGCTCAGAATTCGAGTTGGCTTTACCAAGTAAATCGACCGGCCCATAGAAAATACTACTTGTGCTCAACCAATTGCTCTGAATTGGTTGTGTTCACCGTAGTAGTAAAATCAGCTAATTTTTCATATGGAGAAGCCATCTGTCCATTTGCAAATGGAGCTGGAAGAGTCATTGTTGACAATTCTCTTGGCATAGTGCTAATAATGGACTATATCAAAATGGCTCAATTAAATTCTAGTGCTTCTTTTATTAGTGAAGTTTCAAGAAAAAAAAAATATATCAAACGGCGCAATGCACCTTGGGTCGCTACGAAAACAGTCTCCTTGTATAATTACAAGGGTAAGGTCTGCGTACAACTGACCCCCCAGATCCCAACCTGTTAGGAATATATTGGGTATGTTGTTGTTGTTGTCGTCGTCTCATATGGAGAAGCCAATGAGAAATGCAAAGTTGACAGCATGGTTAATTGGCCACAATGCAAGTTTTAAGCAATTAAGGTGTGTTTGGTAGCAAGTAAGTATTAAGCTTGGTTATTTCTAATGTTCTGAAAATCGAACCGGTGAAGCTACCGGTTCAATGTTTCACTGGTCGGATAAGTGATCGAATCGGTTTAATTAATATATAATTTTTTTAATTATTTTATATGTATAATATATAATTGTATATATCTTTATCATTATTTTAATAGTGTATAATAATATTTTTTTAAATAAATAAAGAAAAAATAAATAAAGAATTGTCCATAGTCTAATTATTTTAGCTATCATGATATCATAATATTAATAAGTAATATTTTTTCCATAAAAATTAATGTGATTAGTGACGCCAACAAAGCAAAATTAGTTTTTAAAACTATTCTACTTTTGAAATTAGTCTTTTAAAAACTATCAAATCAATTAGTTTTTGGTTGGGCTTCAATTGAGTACAAGATCAAAATTTAAAGCTATTCAGCTATAGATTAGTTTAACTAAAATCATTGTCGGCCAAAACCTTCGCGGCTTATTCTTCTTCTCATTCATCTTCTTCGCCAAATTAATCTTCGTCGGCCTCCTTGAAGAAACAGAAAATTTTCATCCCCACATCTAAAGATCTGAACTCACAAATCCACAGAGCAACTTGGGCTCACAGATACAAACATAGATGCGGCAGAATTCTGACCACCAACCCCTATTTCCGGCCACCCGCCACCAATTTTCGGCCAGCCAAGCAATCCAGAACACACGCACACTCCCACAAACACACATCTAAACAAATCGACAAAAATATTATGAATAAGATAATTCGGCCAACGAGGAGAAGAAGAAACTGAAAAATGAATAACTTAATAGGAAGAAGAAACTGGTAAGAAAATGAAGAAGGGAAAAAAGGGAATTCTAGGAAGGAACGGGGAAGAAAGAGGAGAAAGAAAGAGAAAAAAATGAGAGAAAAAATATTTTTGTACAAAAATTCTCATTCTTTTATGCAATAATATTTCAAGAATTTCCATCACCATCAAAGATTTTCTCCTCCATTCGGCTCGAAAGGAAACAATAGATGGACCAAAAATTCCAACCTGTGGCAGAGCCTCATCATATGCTCATGACCCAAAACAACAAATCATACAAATAAGGAAAAGAGTTTTGCCTGCGCATCCCAGTACGAAACTGGTGATCAAACCATTGTCCGCCAATACTACTGTAGCCAACTTCTTCTTTATATAATAACCACATCATCCTTGTACAAGAAAATTTTTCTCTAACAAGAGTGTGAACCTATATATCCAGTCTAAAAAACGAAATCAAAAAATGAAATAATAAAAGGCACACAAGAATCTTGTCCACTTATCAACAACAAAGCAATTTTATTTAACGAATTTCAAAAAGGGCTCCTCAATGTTATCCTCCATCCACTCCAAATCATCATCATCATCAATCATATACCTCCTCCAGAACCAATGCTCCCTCCATATCCTATCCATCTTCTCGATCGGCACATTCTTCGTCTCCGGCAACAAAATGAAAACGAAACCCGTCATCAACGCCACCCATCCCCCGAAGAAAAAGAACGTCCCCGACTTAAGATGGCACAGAATCGCCAAAAACACCTGCCCGATCACGAAACTGAACAAGAAGCTGACCGCCACCGTTATGCTCTGCCCTGTCGAACGTATCTCCAACGGGAAGATCTCGCTCGTCACCAGCCACCCAAGCGGGCCCCACGAGAACCCGAACGCCGTCACGTAGGCGCAGATCAGGACCACGATCGCAGCATTGTAACCCGGGCTTAACACCCCATGGTCACCAAGCTTCTCGGCCATGATCCCTCCAATCGCCATCTGAGTGGCGAACATGAGGACCCCACCAACAACAAAGATGACCAGCCGACCAACACGGTCCACGAGAAAGGACGAGAGCACCGTGGAGACAATCCCGAGGGAGGATGTTATCAGGGAAGACATGAGAGACCCGCTCTCGTCCGACCCGATCGTCTGGAACAGAATTGGGGCGTAGAAAGAGATAACCGCAATCCCAGTCATCTGCTGGAAGAAGGGGATCGCCACCGCCATGACGAGGTAAGGTCGATAATGCCTCTTCAGGATTTTCCCAAACGGGGCCCTCATCTGCTGGGCTGCGTACGTGGCGGAGAGGAGATCGTCCAGCTCAGCGTCCACGTCGTCCGTCCCACGGATTTTCTGGAGGAGCTTCCTGGCGTCCTCCGTGTTGTGTCCACGCTGGATAAGGCTGTTGGGGGTCTCCGGGAGGAATAGGGTGCCGAGGGTGAGGACGGATGCAGGGACGACAGCTGTCACCAGAGAAATTCGCCACCCGAGATCGCCGCTGATTTTGGAGGTGACGTAGTTGAGGAGGAACGCGCCCGTGCTCCCGATGCTGAGGAAGCATTGGAAACCGAAGTTGAAGGCTCCTCTGTATTTCGAAGGAGCCATTTCTGATAGGTACAACGGGACAGCCTGGTTAGCAAAACCGACCCCAACACCGAGAAGGAGACGTCCCATCATCAGCGTGTAGAGGTTTTCGGCGGCGCCGCCAATGGCGGCCCCACTGAAAAACGCGATTCCACCGCAGATGATTGAGCGCTTGCGGCCATATTCCATAGTGATGCGCGAAGCAAAGAAAGAGGCGATGAGGCCGGATACGTAGATTGAGGAAGAGAAAGCGGTCAAGAGCTGGCTGTCGAATTTGCAGTAGTTGCTGACTTCTGTATTGGAGTTCATGTTTGTGTAGACCTCAGGGAAGAATTTCTTCAGGAAGGCCTCCATTGAGGTCACTCCACCTACACCAAAAGAGCACACCTTGTAAGATTTTTGACAGATTGAAGCATTGAGTTTTATCAACATCAGACAAAATTTCCTATTCAATTACCTGTAACTCCAGTATCATAGCCAAAGAGGAGTCCACCGGTAGCTGCGATAATACATGAAAGCATAACGGTTACTGTAACTTTCCCATTGTAATGTACATTTTCACCACCACTGCTAATTGCTCCACCGAACGCCATTGATGTTGACGCAAGTTATTTCTCAAAAGTTGTCCTTTTTTTCTTTTTTTGTTTGCCTTTTGCCTCCTTTAATTTTTTCCTTTTGTTGACAATTGATCTTCCTATTTTTGTTGCAAGAGAATGAAATAAGAGTTGGATGATTTGGTCAGGCTCACCCTAAATGGACCTAGGTATATATAGATTTATTTGAAATGAAGCTACTAAAATAAATAAAAGTGGATATAGAGAACGTGGAATCACATCGGTCGGCGCTTTTTGGCCCCACAGGCGAAACTTCTCACGAATCAACTTCGTGAATCTCGCCGTAGAGTGCTGACTTTCTCTTCAATCTTGGTTTTTTATTTTTATTTTTAAATATATAAAACATTTATATCTATCATTATATAAAAAGAATAACTTTTTTACAAATTTAGCAAGTTTTTCCTGCCAATATCATTAAATGTATCTTATATATAATAATTGTTGGTCAATTTTGAATAGGAAAAAAAATTGGCGGTGTATATATCTGTTTTTCTTTTTCTTTTTTTTTGGTACTCAAAAACCGCTGGTCTTTTTCTTTTTTTGTACTCAAAAATCGCTGGTGACAGTATATATCTGTTTTTCTTTTTCCTTTTTTTGGTACTCAAAACCGTCCGCCGATGACAGTATATATTTGTTTTTCTTTTTCCTATTTTTTTTACTCAAAACCGCCGATTACAATAAATATTTGTCTTTCTTTTACATGTTTTTATGGTACTCAAAATCTCATCCCTTATTTAAAAAAAATACAGCGCTACTAATTTTCATCGGTCTAATTACTAATATTTTTACAAATATTATAAACTAACAATACATCCTCGAAAACAACGTAAAAAGTATAATAATAATTTTGAAATTGTGTGTAATCAAATTTTGTTAGATGGAAGTAACACCATAAATTCGGTATCATCTAAATGTCTTTATTAAATTAGTCTTCTAATATTTTAGATATTTTAAACAAATTGTTTAGACATTTATTTTACATATTTGTCTATATATATATATACACATATACATAATTGACGTTAAATTTAAATATTTGTAGACATGTTTTCTCTACAAAACAGTCTAGAAATTTTTTTTTACACAATGTTAAATTGAAATGTTTTTAGATATATTTTCCTTCTAGAATTGTTTAGAAAAGTTGTAGGTGACTTCACATCTTGCAAAAATAATACAGAAAATTTTGAATATAACATTTTAGGTGTTTTAATATTAAAGGTCCAAATTTTATATTTTCTTATACAAAATAATGCAAATTTTATTTTCTCTTATACAAAATAATTTTACATTGTTTGACCTTGAATCTTTAATTTATAATTATTAAGTATTGTTTATCCTCCTCTTTAATTTATAATTATTTTTTTTCTTCCTCTTTTTAAATAGAATCAATAGTAGTTTCTACTTAGTAACTCAAACTCGAGGTCTATTTATAATATTGTTTCCGTGGATCGCACGGGGTACACATTAATTTTATTTAATTAAATTACTTATTTTGCAAATAAATTTGGAGGATACTTGGTGTCACGTAATTACTTACGCGGGAAGGATTTATTAGCATGTAGAAAAAGTAAGTTCAATGACGTAAACTGAAATTTAGAGGATGCTTGCATATAAGATTATACTCCCTTCTTGTTTAATAAATGTCGTTATGATAAATTGCACCGTAATTAAGATGAAGATAGAGATGAATGTTTTGAGAAAGGTGAACAGAGAATATGAAAAGATATAGGGTAATAATAGAAAAATATGTACAAAAGATCCAAACCGTCATTTATTTGGTTAATTATTGATAAAGTCAAAATGACATTTATAAAAAAAAAAAGGAGGTAGTGTAAGTTTTTTTGTTTTGTTTGACTTATTGCTTAATTATGATTAGTTTTAAAAAGAATTGTATGATTAGTTGTTAGTGAGATTTTGACATTATATTAAAATAATATTTAAAATAAATTAATTAAAATTTATTTGATATAAAATTATGAGAGAAATGATGTGAAATGATGGTTAATTAAAATTGTATGAGTGAATAGATTGTGAATTAAAATTTATATATAAGGAAATTAAATTCATTTCATCATCACACAAGGAAATTAAAATACAAACAATTATGTATAAGTTGTCTATTTAAGCTAATATCTTATCATTAATATTATTCTACACGAAATAAATAATATTGCTTTACTTTTTACAAGACAAAAAATAAAACATGAAGTCGTGAAATATTCACATTCACAATATGGAATAAGATAGAATCTATAGTAATATAAAGAGGTTGTTGGAAAATACAAAAATAGTATGTTTGACTTAAAAAAATAATTTGTTGACTTACTATTTGTAGTAATTTTGAAAAAACCATTTGGAAATTTAATAATGCAGTTGAATCAATATTTCCTGATTTTCATTCCATAGGAGTCGCATTATTTTTTGTAACAAAATTGTACAATCTTATACCAAACAAAAAAATATGGCAAATTTCTTAAGGAAACAAAATCATCATCCATTCATTTTGTTGGAAATTTAATAATGCAGTTGAATTAAAATTTCCGGATTTTCATTCCATAGGAGTCAGCATTATTTTTTATAACAAAATTGTACAATCTTATGCCAAATAAAAAACGTGGTAAATTTCTTAAGGAAACAAAATCATCATCCATTCATTTTTTGTTTTAAAAAGAAAGTGTAAATCTTAAGAAAATCTGGACTTTCGGTTAAAAAGAATCGTCAATAACAAATCCAATTAAAAAGAAATACATGTTTATCTTCTAGATAAAACAAAATACTAACAATATGCAAAAGGTGATCTTTATCAGTAATATAATACATGTTTATTGGCATATTAAAATATTCTTACTGAAAATTATCATATATTCTAAATGATTAGTTAGTCGTGTTTTTTAATAAGATATTGACAGAATCCTAACAAATAATAAATCTATTCATTTTAGTTATTAGTTATTTAGAATCCTAGAGCATCTATACTTTCTCACATTACTGATAAGTTAACAATTAAAATTAAGAAATAACAATTTGGAAACAACATCCTGGAGATTGACATAATCTCAACCATTTTAACAATAATTTATCCTATAAATCTATATTTATACTTATATCTATATCTATAATAATATAAGTAATATTCTACAACCCCACATGTCATAATGATTCTTAAGAATTTTGGTATATCTTTTAAAAAAATTGGTAAGGGGTTTGAACTTTTTTAACATTTTTTTATAACAACCTTCACAATATGATCGGATTTTTTGAGATTTTTTTATAACAAATTTCATAATTATTTACACAATCTCTGGCCAAAAATTTGGTAACGAGTTCGGATTTTCTAGCATAATATTTTTTATAACAAGCTTCACAATATGATCAGATTCTTTGGGTTTTTTTTTAATAAATTTCATAAAAAAGTTGTTAAAAATACATATATGGTAATTTTTACTTAAACAAGAGATGGTTGACTTACTTTTATAAGTAAAAAATTAAAATACACACGTTATAAATGGTTCAAAAATTTGATATTTGGATTGTATATTGCCAAACTATTTTATTTGGTAACTGAATTAATTCTATTATTATTTTCTACCTAAATCCATGTGAATCTCTTTTAAATTAAAAATTGTTAGGTTTTTAAGACTCAAATCAATAAAGATCCCATAAAATTGGAAAACATTTGAATTTGATAAATGTGAAATTTAAATGTGATACACATATTAAAAAGCGTATCAGTACATTTTTGGTAAACAAATCAAATAATTTTGGTAAATCACATTCAAACCAATTGATATCCTATACATAATTTGTGTATATTTAATTGAATATGGTACCTTATTTTCTTTTCGGAAAAAAAAAAATTATATGTAAAAATCAATTTATCCCATCTTTTTTTTATTAGTTTATCAAATCTATTATGAAATAACGTGCAATTTCATGTTTCTTACGGGATATCCTCACACCGATTTTGTATCTTTTTTTATAAGTAATAGATTTATTTTTTTTTATTTAAGTTTTTTATATTTCAAACAGTACAACACATTTCATATCTTTTTCTTTTTAACAAAATCGGAATTTTTGCTTGATGTCAATCCTAATCCAATTATTTAGGATAATAAATTCAAATAAGATTACAATCCGAATGCAAATCATTCAACTTTGGTCATCTTTTTATTTTTTGTTTTATGAATTAAATTTTGAGATGTATATTCAGTGCATATATGCTACGATTTTTTTTTCATGTAATAGTGATATACTCCCAATACAACTCTTTTAAGCAACTCTTGATACACATTAAAAAATGTTTGCTAATAATTATCTTCCGTATAATGATCATCTTTCTATTTCCTAACAAAATCCGTGTGAATCTCTAAAATTTGACAGATTTTAAGGTTTTGAAAATTCAAATCAACTGATATCTCATAAAAATTGACATATTTTTAGGTTATGAAAATTCAAATCAATTCAAAATTTTTATCCTTTTTTCTTTTGTAACAAAATTTGTTAGCTTTGAACTTTGTGTCAATTATTATCCAATTAGTTAGGAAAATAACATCAAATCAATTTAATGTCAATCCTTGATTACATTACCAAATATCTAAAAATTCTATTTTCAAATATTTTTTTTTTAAATTTGAATTTATAGGTAGATGGCACATGCACAATCACTAGATAACACAATCACTAGATAAAACTCCACATTGGTATGATCATTGAACCAAAAATCGACAGAAAATAATGCATACCCTAAAATAAACTTTTGAATCAGTTTTCCATCTCCATTCAAAATGACTTGTGTTTTTTTGAAAATCTATGATATAAAAGAACTAATAGGTCAATGATCAAGCTAAACATTATTATAATGTTCCAACGCATTGAAGAAGAGCGCAATTATCGAAACGTTCTTTATACTGAGGTAATTTGTCCTTATATTATTATTTATATGCATCATTTTATGCTATATTTTTTATGATTTTTTATTTAATTATTGAATGTATACTTTCTTGGGGAGGATGAATTATGGGATCCGACCCGCCAATATTCCACAATTCATCGACGAAATTGAAGAAGGTGGCGCTTATATCTTCAAAAACTACCAACTGGAAAGCAATATTGGCATCTACAAATCGACAATTTGCACTTGAAGGATCATTATTAAC